CATATTTTCACTGCAGCTTTACCATTCTTCACTTTTTGATGTTTAGCTTAGCAGGTCTGCTGTTCTCAGTCATGTTGAGAATAGTTATTTGAATACGTTCGACATTGTGGAGAAATTATTCCCCATTGCTCTCTTGAGCAGAAGCTGCTCTGTGCCTCCTGGCTATTTTTTAACTTCTCTAGGAGACAATCTAGGAACGTTTTGTGGGAAGGTAAAAAAATGTGGTCTATCTGGAAACACCTGAGTCCATGATGGTTTGGTTTTGCTGCCATTATCTTCTGGATCTGTGGCCTAGAGACATCAGTCACCTGTGAGGTGGAGCAGTACTTTCCCACTCATGCAAACGGAAGGAAAGAATGAATGGATTTACTTCTGGTCTTAAAGTTTCTTGATGGAAGAGGAGGAATTAAACCTAGCTGTGAAAACTACACTGTGTAGCACATTCTATTTTACATAATTTTATATTTTGAAGATGTTTCAAACAAAAATACACAGAATACCTGTGTATTCTTCACCTATGTTCAACAACTAGAGGCCCAGTGCACAAAATCGTGCGGGGGCGGGGGGGGGGTGTCCCTCAGCCCAACCTGCACCCTCTCCAATCTGGTTCCCTTCAGGGGATGTCCAACTGCCGATTTAGGCCCGATCCCTGCGGGATGGGGCCTAAACCAGCAGTTGGGCATCCCTCTCCCAATCCGGGACCACTGGCTCCTAACCGCTTGCCTGCCTGCTACCTGGTAGCCTGCCTGATCACCCCCTAACTGCCCCCCTGCCAGCCTGGTCACCACCTAACTGCCCCCCTGCCGGCCTGGTCGCCCCCTAACTGTCTGGCACCTGATGATGACAAAACTAAGGCTGCAGTGCCATCTGCTCTCTGTCTATATTCAGATTTCTCTACTTGTCTGAAAATATGTTTTAAAGTTTTAGTTTCTAAAGCCCATGCTTTTCATATGGTTGTCATGTTCTTTAGTTTCTCAAACTGGAAGCTTCCCCACCTTTTGGGTTTTTGTTTCTTTTTGTGTGTGTGTGTTTTTGTGTTTTTTGTGTTTTTTTGTTTGTTTTGTTTTGCTTTGTTAATCCTCACCAGAGGATATTTTTTCCATTGATTTTATTTTTTTATTTTTATTGATTTCAGAGAGGGAGAGAGAGGGCTAGAGAGATAGAAACATCAATGATGAGAGAGAATCATTGATTGGCTGCCTCCTGCACATCCCACACTGGGGATCAAGCCTGCAACCTGGGCATGTGCCCTGACTGGGAATCAAACCGTGACCTCCTGGTTCACAGGTCAACACTCAACCACTGAGCAACACTGGCCGGACCCATTGATTTTTAGAGAGAGTGGAGGGGAAGGAGGTGGGGAGAGGCAGAGAGAAACAGTGATGTGAGAGAGACACATCGATTGGCTGCCTCCCACACACATCCCAACCAGGACCGGGGAGTGAACCTGCGACCCAGATACATGGCCTTGACATGGGAAATCCTTCTGTGCATGGCTGACATTCTAACCACTCAAACAGCCAGGGCTTGTGTGTGTGTGTGTGTGTGTGTGTGTGTGTGTGTGCGTGTGTGTGTGTGTGTGTGCACGTGCGTGTTCTCGCACGCGCTTAGTCATTAGCCTTTTGAAAAGTCCAGGCCACTTGGATGGGATGGTCCCTATCGTGGACTTGTTGTCCCTGTGGTGTTGCTTAACTCACTCCTCTGCCCTCCTTTTGCTGTGGCTGCTCTTAAATCCACCCAGATGCCAGGATTGACAGGAGCACTAGAAGCAAAAGTAGAATCCTTTGTAAGGGCTCTGGGTGATGGATCAGTCTGTCATTCCAAAGGAGCAGTCTGCCTTGAAGTAGCTCATGAAAGGAATGAGCCTAATTCCTTTTGCCTCTTCTTCCTAGGACTGTGAGGAATGTATCCAGCTAGAACCATCCTTCAGTAAGTGCCTTTATGCTGCCTCTTCCCATCCCTTCATCCTGGTCAAAATATAGAAAGGCGGGAACATGCCTGTGTGTCCCACAGCTGTAATGTTCAGCAGCTGCATCACGGCGCGAGGGGCATGGCGCTCGGGAGGGGCTGAGGGAAGCAGCCTGGGAGCTGCGTTTTGGGGAAGGCCTCACCTTTCCCATTCTGTCTGCAGTCAAAGGTTATACCCGGAAAGCAGCTGCCCTGGAAGCCATGAAGGATTACACCAAAGCGATGGATGTCTACCAGAAGGCGCTAGAGCTGGACTCCAACTGTAAGGTGGGCTGCTTCTGGCTTCCAGGAAGCTCTCCCCTGCCCCCACTTCTCCTTCGGGTCTTTTCCGTGGTCATTCACTGATCCTTGCCTCTCACCTGATTCTGTGTGTGTGTGTGTGTGTGTCTCAGCCCTTCTCAGTTACCTACTGAAGCAGTGAGGTAGGTTGTGCTAACACCCTCCCCCTTTGGCTTTGCTGGAACGCAGGAGGCAGCAGATGGTTACCAACGCTGTATGATGGCCCAGTACAACCGACACGACAGCCCCGAAGATGTGAAGCGACGGGCCATGGCCGACCCTGAGGTGCAACAGATCATGAGTGACCCAGCCATGCGGCTCATCCTGGAACAGATGCAGAAGGACCCTCAGGCACTTAGCGAGTGAGTGGAGTTGGGGAGATGGCCTTGAAGGATAAACCAGTGGCAGTGCGTGAGGTTGGGGACGCATGGGATCAGCCTGGGTGGAGTATTTATTGTGTGATTCTTACTTGAAATTTTAAAGGTTGGCAGTTTAAAGGTGGACTGGAAGGGCTTCCTCTTTTTGTTAGTCATGGTAGCTTAAATAGTTCATTGGAAAGACCAATTTTGCTGGGAGAATGGTCTCCATTTAAAGCTGTCCCCATAAAGTGGGACTGGTCAGGTTCTGGCTGCATAGCAGTGAAGGCCTCTGCAGTTCTCCTGCCAGAACTTGTCCTCAACCACCTCCTGTCGATACCTTCTAAGGGGTGTGCACTGGGGCTTGCTCCAAGAACAAGTAAGGCTTCTCTTATGTTAAGTCTCATTTCAAGCTTTGTCTCTTCTTCATTAGACACTTAAAGAATCCTGTAATAGCACAGAAGATCCAGAAGCTGATGGATGTGGGTCTGATCGCAATTCGGTGATGACTTGCTCATCATCCCTCTTCCCTCTGTCCTCGTGTGGAAAGAGGAGCTGGGACCGCAGCAAGCAGCATGGAGCAGAAGGGAGAGAAGGGGGAAAGCAAACAACTTATCTCTATATATTTATACAGACCTGTGTGGAAGATACAGAGACTTGTACCCACGTTACTCTATAGCCGCTGCCTCTGGGACCTCCCAGCACATGCATGGTCTCTTCCGCTGCCCTTGAGTTCCGTGTCTCTGTCCCCTGTTCCCAGTCGCTGTCTCAGCTGCCCTCCCATAGTTGGTTATTTTTTATTTGGGGCAGTGGGCATGAATGGGGAAGGGAGGGTATTTTTCCCAACCTCAGGTCCCAACTGTCTTCACATTGTTAACTCCGAGTCCCCTTCTCCAATAAAACAAGCCAGTCAGGCGTGGTTATGCCTTGTGATGTCCTTGAGTAATTTTTCTGCCAAAAGACTTCCAAGTGGGCCCTGGCCAGGCAGCTCAGTTGGTGAGAGCATCATCCTGATGGACCGAGGTGGCGAGTTTGATCCTTGGTCAGGGCACATACAAGAATCAACCAATGAGCCCTGGCCGGTTTGGCTCTGGATAGTGTCAGCCTGCGGACTGAAGGGCCCCAAGTTCAATTCTAGTCAAAAGCACATGCCCAGGTTGTGGGCTCAATCCCCAGTAGGGGGCATGCAGGAGGCAGCCGATCAGTGATTCTCATCATTGATGTTTCTCCCTCTTCCTCTCTGAAATCAACAAAAATGTGTTTAAAAAAAAAAATGAAAGAACCAATGAATGAATGAATAAGTAGAACAACAAATCAACATCTCTAAAAATCAATCATTAAATAAAAACAAAAGTCTTTAAGTGGCTGTCCTCCGGCGTCCACCTGGATGGGGAGAGGTGTGTGAATTGATGACAGGACCAGGGCCTTTTCCTAATGTGGGTCAGTGTGAGCTTGCCTTGGTCACACTGCTTTGCCGAGGCGGTCACTAGGTGGTGCTGTCACTCAATGAACAGCTGAAAGGGAGCTTGGAGTCACCCCTACTCAGTGGCCAGGTTCAGACAAACTGGTGATTCCTATGCTGTCGGTTCTTCACACTCATAATCTCAAACCAGAAGCCAACTCCACCCAGAGAACACTATTCCACCTGCGAACCAAAACCACCTCCATTGCAAGACTTGCTTTGGACTTGTTTTGGGGAGATCAGATCTGTCAGCAGCTATATGTTAGTTTTAGGTTTTGTTTTTTATGTTTGTATTGACTTTAGAGAGCAGAAGGAAAAGGAATAGAAACATCAATGATGAGTCCAGCTGGCGTGGCTCAGTGGTTGAGCATCAACTTATAAACCAGGAGGTCCCAGTTCAATTCCCGATCAGGTCACATGCCCAGGTTGCGGGCTTGATCCCCAGTAGGGGGCGTGCAGGAGGCAGCCAATCAAAGATTCTCATCATTGATGTTTCTAGCTCTCCCTCTCCCTCTCTGAAATCAATAAAAATATATTTTTTAAAAATAGCTCACTGCTCTCAACTGGGCTTAAAGTAGTAGGTTTTAGTTACACTTGTCCATGGTCACAACAGACTATTTCTAAAACTCTTGGACTGAGACTGCTTCTGGGGCAGGAGTAAAACTTCCTCTTTTGCTCCAAGAGTAGCTTTCTGGGCTAGGAACCGCTGAGGCCAGCAGCTGGCTGTACTTCCTGCTGTCTTGACTTTGCATAAAATGGCTTTCCCCTGGGAGTCCCCAAGGCCCCTCCCCACCCGGGTGGCAGCTCAGAAAGCCTAACCTCAGGGAGTCTGCATCTTTGGTGCCACTGTCTCTGCAGGTTCAGTTCCCTCCAGCCCTTAATTGGAAAGGCCAAGTTCGGGCAGCACAGCGCGGCTCTCCCAAAGCTCCCATCCCAGTGCAAGGCTGGGCGGGAAGAGGTTGGGCTACAGGGACCCTGAGGTCACCTTTGGGGAGGAGCTTGACAGGAGTGAGCCTCCGGGTACTGGGTGGGAGGGGAGCACCTGGGGCAGGGAGGTTGTGAATGATGGGCCAGTCTGTTCAGCTGTTTCCCAGAGCAGCTCTAAGACGGACAAGTTTGGAAATAGAGGCCCTTACTGGGGACAGGAAAGAAGGACGTTGTTTTCCCCCAGGCCTTCTTCAAGTGCCCTTGTGGTGAGAAGGGACATTGAGTCTTGGGCTGACTTGACCCGCCAAGCCCTAAACCTGGATCCAGTCCTTTCACTTCCATGCCTCTCCTTGGCACCCGGTGGTGTTTCATGGCCCAAAGGCACCCGCCCTCTGAAGGAAGCGCCAAAGAGAACGGGGTGGAGAAGGAGGCACCCAGTCGCCGGCAGGTGTTCGGGCTGAGGCCAGGACTGGCTCACACTCCAACCCCCAGCCCCTTGCAGGCAGGACAAGCTGGGGCCCTTCCAACAGGGGGCCTGGCCATGAGCACAAATTGATGGCTTCTCTTGAACCGAGCAGCCCTCCCCGCGAGGGGACCCTTTTGTGGCGTTGGGTCCACCAGCCTCACTCCTTGCTTGCTTCCTGTGCTCACTCGGAGCCAAGGCGGGGCCACCCTGTAGCCCTCAGCAGTAGCTGGCAGTTTGCTTCCTGAACCCAGAGCCACCAGCCCGCCCTGGGGAGGGGCTGAGCCCGCCCTGCGTAAGAGGCCAGGGCTGCCCTCTGAAGGAAGCTCCAAAGAGAAAGAGGAGGAGAAGGAGGCACCCAGCCGTCTGCAGGTGTGCGGGCTGAGGCCAGGACTGGCTCACACTCCAACGCTCCGCCTGCAGCCCCAGCCCCTTGCAGGCAAGGTAAGATGGGCCCCTCTCCTCCCCGCCCTCCTCCCACAGCCCCGGCCCCATGGCCTTGTCCAGGCCGCAGCCCGCACTTTCCTGGAGAGGCGGGCTGGGCTGGGATGTGCGGATCTCACCTTCGGGCCAGGATTGGAATTATTCTCTGACCTGGGTTTACAACCATCTCCGGGGTGGCAGCTTGCCCGTGTGGGCTTGGGGTGAGTGTGAACTGGGAAAGCAGATGGAGGTTGTGCCCTCTCTGCCATCAAGCGGGGTGCTCTTGAGTGAGCCCCTTCTTACTCTTTGCTGGGCCTCAATCTTCCCACCTGTAAGATGGGAGTGGGTTGGACAACATGGTCTCCGAGGGTCCTTGCAGCTTAACCATGGTGATGACGAGGTCTGAGGTTTGCCTGGAACAACTCAGCACTCCGTGTCTCGCCGTTGCCCTGGTGTACTGGCCTGCGGGTTACACACACACACACACACACGCACACACACCCCTGTCCAGGGCACCGTGGGGCCTCTTCAGCTTGAACCCAGGCAGCCTACCAGGCCCAGCGCCTTGCCCACTTTGCTTCCTCCCCACTCGCTGTAGAGCCACCGCAGCCATGGCGGGCATGAAGACGGCCACCGGGGACTACATCGACTCGTCCTGGGAGCTGCGGGTGTTTGTGGGAGAGGAGGACCCCGAGGCTGAGTCGGTCACCCTCCGGGTCACGGGGGAGTCGCACATCGGCGGGGTGCTCCTGAAGATCGTGGAGGAGATCAGTGAGTGCCCGGCCCTGTGCTGACCTCAGCACCGCGGGTGGCTCCCCTGCGTCCCCGCTGCACAGCCCGCGACAGATAACGGTGTCACAGTGACTCAGGCACCAGCTTAATCATTTGGTTCCAAAAAAGACATTTCCCCCACTTCCCCTCTCCCACTGTCTCGCTCCCTCGCTCGCTCCCTCCCACTCCAGCTGGTTCTGCTAAGTCCCCGAGGAGCAGGCCTGGCCGCATCCTCCATTCCTCCACTTCTAAGGGCCTCGCCTGGGCTGAGGGAGGGTCACACCGGGGGCCTGAGGGAGCCCGCAGGGCTCTGCTCCCACATCTCCTCCCCAGGCGGAAGCCCTCACAGGCTGGTGACGGCCCAGCCTGGGTGGGAAGGCCCTGCCCCCACAGGAAGTTGCAGCAGAGCAGTCTGTGGTCTCAGCCATTGAAAGGAGCAGGGCAGTGACATCCATCACCTTTCCCTGCTGGGGTGCGCACTGCCCTTCCTGGAGGGCGGTAGGCACACCCCGATAGCCAGGGCTGGACGGCAGGCCTGTGATCGCCCAGTCGGGGGCCATGTGGCCTGCGGGCGGCGTGTGTGGGCCTCCTCAGACCCAACCAACCGACCACGTGCCTCCTGGGAGGGAGGTCAGCGGGCAGGCCAGGGCCCCAGGCCAGCTCGGCCAAAAGGCTGAGGTGTGAGGGCGCTTCCAGAAGGCAGGGCCCAAGGAGGCTGTGGAAGCAAAAGTTGGGAACAGGGGGTCCCTCAGGAGCCGGCAGCAGGCAGGGTGGGGGGAGCCAGGGCTGAGCAGTGAAGACTTGATTGGCCTCTGGGCACAGCACATGGCAACGCCAGAGGCCTACACAGGGAGACAGGCAGACGGAAGCCACTCCTCCACCCACTGCAGGGCTCCCCGAGGCAGTCCTTCAGCTCCGAGTCCTTGCAATGGGGACATTGTGCCCACCCTCCTGTCCCTGCTCATCCCCTAGGGCAGTGGTCAGCAAACAGAGGCTCGCGAGCCACATGCGGCTCTTTGGCCCCTTGAGTGTGGCTCTTCCACGTGTGGGCACGTACAGTGCGATTGAAACTTCGTGGCCCATGCGCAGAAGTCGGTTTTCGGCCTGCGCGACTCTATTTTGAAGAAGTGGCGTTAGAAGAAGGTGGGGGGTGTCGATCGGTCGGGCCACGGGCTACGCAGCACGGGGGGAGGTACATTGTTTTTCGGCACGTTCATCAAAGCGACCCATTCCGACTCTCCCATCCCACACTCCTTCGTCTATCTGAAAAGTATCCAAGACGAGTGTGGATGGGAGAGTTGGAAGGGGTCGACCTCAGCGAACGTACCTCAATCAGTTTGAGGACGTTTTTAGCAAAGGCCAGCTTAGGAGTACCCTAATTAAGTTAATAACAATGTACCTACCTATATAGTTTAAAAAATTTGGCTCTCAAAAGAAATTTCAATCGTTGTACTGTTGATGTTTGGCTCTGTTGACTAATGAGTTTGCTGACCACTGACCTAGGGCCTCAGACACTCCTTGCGCTCCACTGAGCGGGGCCGCGCCAGCCCCTGGCCTCCTGGAGCGTGGCGGCTGCTGAGTGCGGGGCAGCACGGGAGCCAGCGTGGGGCCTGGGCCAGGAGAGGTTGCCCCCAGCCTGGCAGGGGGCTCACAGGAGAAGCCGCCTCCTGAGTCTGGACAGGGGCCCCAGCAGAGAGGAGGGAGGCCAGCCGAGGTCAGGCAGGGGCGCTCTGACCTGGGCACCTAGGCCGGGGCGGGGGGGTGGGGGGGACACACACGACTCCTGGAGCGCTATAGGCCGTCATACGGCCGTCGGACTCTCCTGGAGGCGGAGGCCACCACACAAGGGACTGTCGGGCAAGGGCTGATGTTTGGCAGGTCCCTCGGGTGGGGGTGGGCGGAGGCAGGGGGCCAGCCTCCTGTGGTGGTCGGCACTGAGGACCGACAGGAGGGCGGGTTGTGGAGGCGGGACTGACAGCCTGGCCCTGCCCTGGGCCTGGCAGGGGAGGGCACATCGCCTCAGGCCTCTGAATCCCAGGCTGTGCCCAGCGCTGGGGGCAGGCCTTCCGGGCTGATGTTCACCCGCCCCTGCTTCCCGGGCCGCAGATCGCAAGCAGGACTGGTCGGACCACGCCATCTGGTGGGAGCAGAAGAAGCTGTGGCTGCTGCAGACCCACTGGACGCTGGATAAGTACGGCATCCTGGCCGACGCCCGCCTCTTCTTCGGGCCCCAGCACCGGCCCATCCTCCTGCGGCTGCCCAATCGCCGAGCTCTGCGCCTCCGAGCCAGCTTCTCCCAGCCCCTCTTCCAGGCTGTGGCCGCCATCTGCCGCCTCCTCAGTGAGTCTCCATCCCCCCTGTCCCCCTGCAAGGGTCCTGCAAGGGGGCTGGTCCCCTCCCTTTACAGGCCCAGCTACTGTCATGTTGTCCTTGCCACCACCGAGCAGTAAATCCCTCTGCAGGGCTGGCCTGCCCCGAAGTGGGGAGGGGCAGGAGCCCCCCGGGTGGGGGGGGGGGCCTGGTCCCCGCTGAGGCCCCAGCTCCCGCAGGCATCCGGCACCCTGAAGAGCTGTCCCTGCTCCGGGCTCCTGAGAAGAAGGAGAAGAAGAAGAAGGAGAAGGAGCCGGAGGAGGAGGTCTATGACTTGACCAAGGTCGTCCTGGCTGGGGGTGAGCACCGACTGGGGGGGCCAGGGGCTGGGTGCAGGGGGCGGGCCCAGGAGGCCCAGGACGGGGGGCCGGGCCTGGTTGACCCCCACCTGCCCTGCCCTCCAGGCATGGCACCTGCGTTGTTCCGGGGGATGCCAGCCCACTTCTCAGACAGCGCCCAGACGGAGGCCTGCTACCACATGCTGAGCCGGCCTCAGCCGCCGCCCGACCCCCTCCTGCTGCAGCGCCTGCCTCGGCCCAGCTCCCTGCTGGACAAGACCCAGCTGCACAGCAGGTGCCCCGCCTGCCGGCTGCTCCTGGGCCACGTCCCTGTGGTGCCCCCAACTCCCCCGGCTCCCACCCTCTGTGTCCTGCTCACCCCAGATCCATGCCTCCTGTTCCCAGGCCTTTCCTATATGTGTGTGCTCGCCCCCAAGCCCCTGCCCAGCCCCCACCCGCCCCAGCGCTGTCCCGGCTCAGCCCTGACCCCCGCCTCACCGCCAGGTGGCTGGACTCGTCGCGGTGCCTCATGCAGCAGGGCATCAAGGCCGGGGACACGCTCTGGCTGCGCTTCAAGTACTACAGCTTCTTCGACCTGGATCCCAAGGTGGGCCGGGGCCGGGGGAGCGGGGCTGGTCAGTGAGACCTGAGGGCCTAGGGTCAGGGGTCTCAGAGACTTGTCAGCATCTGTCTCTCTGTCCATTTGTCCATCCACACCCGTTCATGAACTCTGGGCCTGGGCGGATGCGAGGGCATCGGGGAGATAATGACCCCACATCCGTGTAGACAGTGGTGTGTGCGCCTGGGAAGCCTGCTCGGGCTCCGGGAAGGCCTCCTGGAGGAGGCAGCGCTGCGGCCGTGCCAGTGCACCTGTCTCCCTCCCGGCTCCTGTCGCCACTGGCCACCCCCAGGAGCCATGCATCCCTCTGCAAGGCCCACAGGCACTCTCTCCGCCCACCTCTCTGTCCCCTTCACTGAAGAACTTCTAACCACGGCTGCTGTCTGCAGAGCCTTGGGGTTGCATGTCCCTTCTCCCCGGAATCCTGTCTCCTGGTTCCCCGCCTTTCCTGGGTGCTCGCTCGTCCCCTTCTCCTCGTCCAAATCTGTCCGGGTGTCTGCCGTCCCCTCCGCCCGGGAGAGCACCTGCTGAGGCGACCTGCCTCGTCTGTCTGTCTGTCTGTCCGCTGCTCACTTCCTGCCCACGTGTTTCTCAGCCACTCGTGACCCCCAAGCGCCCTGTCTCCCGCTGCCCTGCCAGCTCCTGGGCCACCCTTCCCTCCTCCGCGGCCGCTGGAAGTTGGTGAGCCCCCGGCTCCATCCCTGCCTCCTCCTCTCCACCCTTCTCCCAGGAATCCCTAGTCTTACGGATTTAAGTGTCCTCTGTGTGCTCTTTATAGCCACCCCACTTCTCTCCCCCGAGCTCTAGGCTCGCGTGTCCAAGTGGCCACCTCTGCTCAGGTACCTGCATAGGCCCCTCCGGCCCTGCGGGCAGCGGGACTCTGGGTCCCCCCCCTTCCCACCGTCCCTCAGGTGTCCTGCTGATCCTCCCTCGAACTGAAGCCCAAGCCACCCCCTCTTCTCTTGTCTCTTTGTCCAGCCATCACTCTCTCCGGGCCTCCCAGGCCTCCCACCTCCTCACAGCTCAGGAATGAACTTGCCAACACACCTTAGGTCACCTCGCGCCTGGGACCGGCCAAAGGCTGCTGGGCTGCCTCTGGTCCCAGCTGCCATTCCCCGAGGCCCAGCCCATCTGGCTCTGCCCACTGTGAGCTCAGTGCCCCTCTCCCCCCCTCCCCCCTCCCCCCACCCAGTTCCTTCCACCCTCACCACCTCCTCTCTCCCAGCCCCTTCCGCCCCTGGGGACTTGCTTATCTCCTCTTGCCTCTCCCGCCCTCTTGGAT